AGCACAGGAGTTATGTGCTCCCTCCTTGATGTTCCTGTAATCAGCCTGTCACTCCTTTTTAGAGCGGCAAAAAGACGCCCTTGCCATGGCAGCGGTGGCTTTTTGGTGCTCCTTTGGCGCAGCATGTATGAATGCTGCACTAAGGGAGTGCCCTATGCTGCCTGCCATCTGTTTGCATGGGTGACATGATGGCAGCATCGGGGCAGCCGGTGTGCAGTCCCATGCCTTGACTCCACCCCCAGGTCGGCCCTTTTGGCCAGTCTGTGTTCCCCCTTAGTTAAGTACTTAGTTAAGTATAACCTGGTGTAGAATTCTGGCCATAGTCTCTTGTGGAGAGGGGTGGCAGATGTCAACAACTAATTGTTCCAATTTAACTTGAAAAAATTAATAGGCACATATAATCTATTATCACTACATGTGATATAAAATTGGCAGCAGGCCCATTATCAGGGCCCATTGCCAATAATATATCCCATATTATTGTTGTTAACTGCTGCCAGTTGACTTCAACTGATGGCAACCCTATAAATGAGAGACCTCCGGATCACACTATCTTCAACAGCCCTATTCAGAAGTTGCAGACCCAGGGCTGTCCATCTAGAATGTGGTCTTCCTCTTTTCTGATTTTTTTCTTCTTTTCCAAGCATTATTGTCTTTTTTACTGAGCCATGCCTTCTCATGATGTGTCCAAAGCACAACAGTCTCAGTTTAGTCATCTTGGCTTCATGGGAGAGTTCAGGCTACATTTACTCTAAAGGTAAAGGTATTCCCTGTTGACAAGTTTGTCAAGTCATGTCCAACCATGGGGGCAGTGCTCATCTCTGTTACTAAGCCTAAGAATCAGCATTGTCAGAGTACTCTGTGATCATGGGACAAGCATGGTAAATAGTGGTAAGTATTTATCTACTTGTATTTGCATGCTTTTGAATTGCTAGGTTGGTAGAAGCTGGGACTAGTGACAGGAGCTCACCCCATCATGCAACACCCAGGCCTTGAACTGCCAACCTGCCAATCTTACAGTCAACAGAGTCAGTGTCTTAACCACGTGACCCACCACATCCCTTGACTTACACTAGGACCCATTTATTTGTCTCTTTAGCAGTCCACAGTATCCTCAGAACTCTTCTCCAGCATCACATTTCAAATTCGTTTATTTTCTTCCTATCAGCTTTCTTCCCTGTTCAGATTTCATATACAGAAATTGGAAATACAATGGCATGGACAATCTTAACTTTAGTATTCCATGACATATCTTTACACTTCAGGATTTTTTCTGTTCCTTCATAGCTGTCCTTCTAACTTCTAGTCTTCTGATTTTTTGACGGTTGTCTCCATTCTAATTAATGACTGATTAATGACATATTGTCTCCAAGCATAAATTGTTAAGAAACAGGTATCACACCAGGTGAGGGCCAGCATGGAGTAGTGGCTTAAGCATTAGACTATGCCTCTGAAGACCAGGGTTTGATTCCCAGCTTGGCCATGGAACCCACTGGGTGACCTTGGGCATGTCACACTGTCTCAGCCTCAGAGAATGGCAATGGTAAACCTCTTCTGAAGAAACTCACCAAGAAAACCCTGGGGTAGGGTCACATTAGACTGAGTCACCATAAGTTGGAAATGACTTGAAGGCACACAACAACAAAATCACACCATGAGCAACTCTCATTTTTCCCTACAGAGGGCAACATTTGACCCTTAATACTTCATATCTTAGCAAGCAAATGTTTAAAGTGACTCAGATGCTTGATCTCATTTTGCTGGCCTGGAGGACATTGCACAAATCCCAGTGAGTGCAATCAGGGCATTGCACAAATCCCAGTGAGTGGGGTAAAAGCTAACCTCCCAAGTGAAAGATCTGAAACTCTAAGCCCTGAAGCCCATCATTAAACCTCTTACCACACCATGAGTTGTCTAGAAACCTCAAAGCAGGGTGAGGGATGATATGAATGTCAGGGAGCCTATCTGCTTCACATCTGGGCATTTGAAAGACATGCCCTCAATTCACAAAGCATGTAACTAGCCTATGTTCAGCTAATGGTTCAGGATGTGGTTAGATGTGATGGTTCCAGAATACAACCTGGGGCTTTCCTGTGTGTCTTGAGAACAGGCAATTGAATCTGCATCATGAATGAGCAGGAAATTCTCCCCAGATCTATATTTCTACAGCTGGAACCATTGCTTTAAATCCCCTTGTTGAGGATTATCTCTGGACTTCATTTTTATATTTAGGGATTTAGGGTTGGGGATGGTTTTACACTGTTCTGTTTTTAATTGTAACCCGCCTCGATTGTTGGGCAGAGAAGCGGGCTATAAATAAAAATTATTATTATTATTATTATTATTATTATTATTATTATTATATTGCTTAGCTGTTAGGAGAGTTAAAGCCTGTGCATTATCAAAAGACAACAAAGGAGTGAACAATAAATCCATTTTATAAATTATCAGATAAATACAAAATGAAATAAAAAATAAAATACAGTGATAGAACAAAACCAAAGGCCATAAAAACAAAATACAATAACAAAATAGATTTAAACAGCCATTAAAATGTAATAAAATAGATTAAACAAATTAACAGTGCAAACTGAAATGATTTGACCTGAAATAAGTATCTACAAGTTTGGTCTGAGGTGAATCTCTATGGGGATCAAGTTCACAGAACACAAAACTTGAAGTGGCATTTGGTAAAAAATAATTTGCTCCATTACTTGTTGGTCCCATCCTTTTTCAGATAGTTACATGTTACCTTACATATTCACAGCAGAGAGAAAGCAACATGTAATATTAATTGTTGGTAATTAGTCATGGGAAATGATATTAATCATGGGAAAGACTGAAGGAGTTTGCCTCTACCATGTGTTAGCATACCCTACATCCCTCTCACTGGATATGGGTTTTTATTTTAATACCTAGCATTAGGCATGTTTAGAGAGGTCACAATGACCTGTGGAGACCAGGAAGTTACATATGTAGGGAGTCACTCTCACCTAAAGATATATAAGAGACCTATGGGTTTATTGTGGCACCAGAGCTCTCTGACAGAGAAGTCTCAATGTCTCAGAAAAAACTACAATTCCCATGATTCCCTAGCACTGAGCCAGGGCAGTTAAACTGGTCTCAAGCTGCATTATTTCTGGCAGTCTGTAAAGGACCTCTGTCCCTTCCCCCCTCGCTCCAGATTTTCGCATTTCCTCTCACAGTGCAGACAAAGTGAGTCCAATTGCAAAAGCAGTCAAAGACCACACCTTCCACCTCTCCACAGGCTTTATTCATATTCACCCTTCTTGTCCAACTATCCAGAGACTGCCCGAGGGCTCATTCACACTACGAAATAACCCAGTGTGGAAACTGGGTTATTTCCATGGCATTCATACTCGCACCGAGTGCCTCAAAACCCACTTACCCCAGTATAGTCAATACAGGGCTCTTTTTGTTTTGTTTTGTGTTTTTTTTAAAGATGCAGAGCACCACAACATGTTGTTGATTTGGTTCGGGGCATTTTGAACCAATTCTTTGAAAACAGGAAGAAAGGAGTTATGTGCAGATGGGCAGAACATACACATGCCACTTGGTGTTGCCAGTGAAGAAACCACCTCCATAAATCTGGCCAGTATTTCCACCACTGCCTCCATTTCCCTCAGCTTTGCCTCAGAAGGCTTATTTATACATTTATACACTTTTATATGCTGACATAGTCTTCAGAGGCATAGAAGCCAGGCATAGTCAGACACGCATTCTAGACTTTAGGAAAGCTG